TTATGAGAAAATAAATACCTTCTCAGACAAGGATTACAGCTTTCCTACTTTTTTTTTAACTGGGTATTTATAACATTTGAATATACTATGTGGGAAAATAATTTTAAAATTCAATTTTCACCATCCTTGTCAGACAAATAACATTCATCGTTCCCTGAAAATTCTACTGTTTGTACCTCTCTTTTTCCATGTGTTTCCTCACCCCTTTTGTCTCCATTTCTGTTCCTCACTTATTACTATCTCAATAGCATCCTTTCTACATTTTAGTTATCAGATCAAAAAGAAAGAAAAATATTGAAGAGAAGAATTTGAGGGAAGAGCAAAAGTTAGCAAAGGAAAAAAACCCAAAGAATACCACACCGCGTGCAAATGCGGAGAATTTGTGAAAGCAAGTGGAAGAGATGAAGGATGTGCTGGTCAACGTGCAGGAAAAACCACAGGGGCGACAGGGGCTGAGAATGTGAGCGTAACTTGCTCCCAGAGAATCTTGTAGAAGAGCACTTTACGCCAGAGGTATATAACAGAAAATAAACTCACTTGATATAGCAATTCTTGCTTCTTGGTTGTCATAGTTCATGAATAATGATAACTTAATTGTAAATAGAAAAAAATCCAACTTTGTTAAGGGTGAAAGGGAAATCACCAGGATTTACTTTTCTTGCTCCTGATGGGAAATACTGTACAAGTAATTTCTCTGGGCAGTCCTCCAGACCATGCTAGGGAAGTGCTTGCATTAGACAAAACTTTTCCAGTGATATTACCTATCAATTCCATAGCTTGTCTCCATTGTACACATGAAGAAACCGAAGATGTCACAATAAATATGACACCAGATTAAGACACAATCATCTCTGTCAGGTCCCGCTCTGTTGAGGGAAATAAGCGAGTGCTGTCAGCTGGGAGCTGCCGGGCTGTGGGAATACAGGAGAGGTAAGATTTAGTCTAAACGGTACAGTTCCTTTGGAAAACTATCCGACAGTTCCTTAAAAAGTTAAACAGAGTTACTACAATACCTGGCCATTGCACTGCTAGGTATACATTCAACAAAACTGAAAACATGTGTACACACAAAAACCTGCACACAAATGTTCACAGCAGCATTACTCAAAGGAACCAAACAGTGGAAACAACTCAAAAGTCTATTAACTGATAAATGCATAAACAAAATGTGGTCTATCCATACGATGAAATATTTTTCAGCAATAAAAAAGGATAAAGTGGGGAGCTCTCATTTTGTTTTTTTCTTTTTTTTTTTTTGAGACAGAGTCTCACTCTTTTGCCC